GGAAAAAGGGGGAGGGGGGGGGGGTGGGGGGGGGGGGGGTTCATATTTTTGCAATCCTTTTTTTCTCTTGGTGCATGGTGACTTACTTAGTTTCGGGTTCCCTTGCACGGGTGGTCCACGAGATTCCAGTTTTTTGTTTGGTTTCGTCTGATTTGTCGTGTCTTTGTTGTCCGCCCCTCTTCTCCTCCGCCGGGCGACATCTATCCTGAATAAGAGACGTGGCGCGAGTCACGAAACTGTTCCGTTGCTGTGGCCGGCGGTTTCATGTATGACATCTTGTGGACAAGTCTATTCGTTCTCCCATTTCCCGAATAGCACTGACTGTGTGAACCAAACGACAACAACGACAGGTGAACCCGTGCAAGCTCAAGAAGGTGACAAACGTTCGGAGCGTCCTCGCGGACGAGTCTTTCAAGATCGCTCCCCCCGTCAGGCTCGGAACCGAGGAGCTGATCGCGTACATGGGCGAGGACGAGATGCTTGAGGTCACGCCGCTAGCGATACGCCTCCGAAAGGCGGCCTTGGATGCCGGGGAGAGGCAGCGCATGCAAAGGTCTAAGAAAAAGCAGAAGCAGTGAAGGAGAAGGCCAAGCCATGGGCATCGGGAAGAAGGGATGGCCAGCAGAGATGCAAGAGCGGCGAAAATGCACAACGGGAGAGCTACATGGCGAAGCGTGTCGGATTTTTTTCGACATGTTTCATGTTCTCTCTCTCTCTCTCGCTCTTCCTCGCGGTTTGATCCCCGCCCGGAAGGTGGCCTGGCGTGGAGGGGAGAGAGATGAGAACTTGCGCGTCCATTGCCAAAGGAACGAGTGGTTGTTGGCGTCTGGAAATGTTTGTTGATAGTTGTCGCTTCGAGCGGACGCCGTGTTGCTTCAAGGCCCGGGAAATGGTTTCCAATCCACAACGTGGTCTTGAGTGTCGGGTAACTACGGGTTTGTTTGGTACTCCAGCGATGATCACTAAATGGCACCCGTCATGTAACACCTACGATCTACAAGTCTTCCGAAAAGTGTTTTAACATTTTTCGCGCAGCCTTTCACATATGTGATTTTTTCTTGAAGTGCGGCACAGATAGCATGTGCTGTCCACCAAGCATGCACTATATCACGCAAGGAATACACTCCCACTCAAGGCGGGGCTCGCGAGCTGATTCTGTAAGGTTCCATTTACCGTGCAGAACACTTAAACACTTATGCACAGCCTAGTCTAGTCGGCCGCAGGGGCTCAAGGCTCGGTTTCTTGCTCCAGTCAACTTTCACCTTTTCCCACTCCCACGTTCTACTACTTTCATGCTCTTCGATGGCCAGGCCCTCGCCGTCCCGTAACGTTTGTGTTACAGCAGCCGTGATCTCCCCGGCAGGAGGAGCGACCCCTACAACCGTTCTCGCTTCGCCGCTGCACGAATGGCCGAGGGACGCGCTGCTTTCCCCCGCCCGCCCACGCGCTGTTTCTGCTGCAGCCGCAAAATCTTCTTTTGTTGCTTTCGCTGCCGCCACCGCACTTGACTCTTCGATGCCGCCCTGTGCCAACCGATTGGCAGCCTCCGTCCCAAGGCCTCTAGAAGGCAGTCGTTTTCGACCGGGACCGCGCACCGGTATCGAGATCCCGTCCAATCGCCGGTCGAGCCTTTCTCTGAACGTCTCCGCGGTGGACGCGCCGGGCCCTCGTGTCTCTCGCTCTCCTCGGTACCTGTACTCTTCCCGGCGGTGACTCGGTCGTTCTTCGCAGGGGGCCACCGCCTCCGGAACATGGACATCACGGGGTGAAGATGTAGGTGTTGCATTCTTCGTCCCTTCCCAGGAGACGTGCTCGTGTCGTGGCGACGAAGGCTGAGCCGTGCTCTTCCCCGGTGGCGAGCACGCACCAGCGGTACCCGTGGTGTTGTTGTGGCTGCCGCCGTTCCCAGCGCGGGTTTCTGCGTTCCCGACATCCGGCGATAGCCACACCGACAGAGGGGAATCACTCGAACGGACATTCGCCGTTGATACCGTTGCTGTCCCCGATGGCGTGCGCCCGTTGCCGGCCCCAGTCTTTGCGGTGGTACTGGCGACCTTCGCTGCTCCGGAGGGACGCCTCTTTCTTCGTCTTCGTTCCCTCTCAAGGTTGGAGCCACGGCGGGTGGGGCCGACAGCGGAGTGGCCTACCAGAGGCATTCCGCCGGCCTCCTCGATCAATCACGGATGTTTCATTTGGGGGACCAAGAACCGGGGTTAAATAGTAAGTGGTTGAGGCAAGGCGGGGGCACGGGTCGCACGTTGATTTCGTTGGGAAGCAGGGGGAACACGAGCTGTCCCTGACGCCTCGTTTGAACAGCGTGTATGGATGGATGACATTATAATTCGTACCTGTTCTCCCCGGGCCAGCCACCACCGCCAGTTGTCGCTGTACTCTCGGTAGCACGCTCCGCAGAGCGGCACACTGTCGTAGAGGCGGACCTACGACCCGGCATCGCCGCGGCAATAGTGCCATACATGCACACATGTGTGGAAAAGGGCGTGGGGTTCGCCACCGAACATGAGCGTGTTGTGCGGAAGGTATCAACCGCGGAAACCGGTTATGAACAAATCTGCACTCGCTCCGATGTATTTTAACCCCTGGCCCTCGGCCTGTCCCGCGTTGGCTTTCCCGCCACCCTTCGCACAATCGCCTGAACGGGAAAACCAGATTCGGCTGCCAGCTACCGACGTGCCTGGAAAAAAGGGTTTTCTGGAGCGAGGCGGCAAAATCAAGGCTACTTTCCCCGTTTTGGCAAGAGCACCCCCCAGCAGACTTGGCACCCAAACCTGGTGCATCCCAAAACCTATGCCCCGCTCATGTTGGCTTCCAAAACCAGGATTCAGAGAGTTTGGCCATTGCTCTCCGATACAGAGGACCCCGGTAGGACCACACTCCGCTCACCCTGTCTCTCTGCCGCAACACCGCCAGAGCTCTCGCCTCCACCAGGGAAGCCCCATCCTTTCCAATGGCCCTGCATGCATCAGTAGTATCATCGACGGCGACCCTCTCCCCCGATGTTTGTGCCGAGCAATTCGTGGCAGCATCATGGATGCTACCCCGCCGTTGATGCTGTCGTTGTGGTGTTAATGCGGTTGCCGCTGCGACCTGTTCTTGAAAGAGCAAAGCTGTTCTAAACCTGGCCACTTCATCGTTGATAATGAGCGCCTTAGAACCCGTTGTTGGGTGCACCATGCAAAGGAGAGGTTGGGGGGGGGGGGGGGGGGGGGG